TTAGTAGAGACGGGGTTTCACCATGTTGACCAGGATGGTCTCGATCTCTTGACCTCGTGATCCACCCGCCTCGGCCTCCCAAAGTGCTGGGATTACAGGCTTGAGCCACCGCGCCCAGCTGGATAGGGTTTTGTTTCTGTGTATTAAAAAAAAATAGTGTCCTAGGTGATTCTGATGTGACCTCTAATTAAGAACTTCTGTGCAATGGGAACACAATGAGAAAATGGTTAATTTTGGAGGTGCAGAGCACTGAGAATGCTACAGAGGAGGTGGCATCTGCAGGATCATTAAGAGTTTACTAGGCAGACAAGGTAGGGAAGGATGAGGTAATCTGAAAAAGGGAAGAAAATGAATTAGAGAGGAGTGAAGGTGAAGAAACTCTGTAAAAAGCAGCCTGGTGTAGTTTAAGAATGGATGATTAGGTTGGATGGGATGAGATGGGTCCTGTCTTAACTGCAAAAACTTAATGACTACAAAGTAACCCTCTTTTGGGCACCAGCTTTTGAGAAAATATTAAATATTACCTTCAAATTATTTTACAATTTAAAAATAAAAGCAAAAAATAAAAAATAAAAATAAATTTAAAAAAATTTAAATAAATAAATAAATAAGCAAAAGCAAAAAGTTACCTGAGCATTGCCATACTGCACAGTGGAACAGTAGTTTTTGATGTCACTCTTGCAGGCTTCATACAGATCTGGCTCCAGGCGGATGTCCTCTGTCTGCATGAGGGAGCCAGCATGGAAAGGTGAGCTTGGTTTAGGGTGGAGATGTCAAATGTTCTATAGACTTATTTGGTGGCTGCATCTTGTCTAGTGACCCTGGCTTCTACACAGCAAAGTGGCCTTGCAGCAAGAGAATCAGGCTTTACTTTCAATTCTGTCACCAACTGGCTGCATGGTCTTGGACCTTCTTTGCAAAATAGAATGTCATGTCTACACTGAAACACCATATCTAGTCCTGCAAAGGATTTCTGCGAGATGTGAAAATCACTTGGAAAGTCAAAACCGCTATATAAATATAGGGTTCTACTTTTATTATTACTTTAATTAAAGAGCTAGATTCAAAGTTAGAGAACCGAACCTTCCAGCTTGAAATAAGGTTTCTTTTTTTTTTTGTTGTTGTTGTTGTTGTTGTTTTTTTTGAGACAGAGTCTTGCTCTGTCACCCAGGATGGAGTGCAGTGGCATGGTCTTGGCTCACTGCAACCTCTGTTTCCTGGGTTCAAGCAATTCTCCTGCCTCAGTCTCTTGAGTAGCTGGCATGATAGGCGTGTGCCACCACACCTGGCTAAGTTTTGTCTTTTTGGTAGAGTTGGGATTTTGCCATGTTGGCCAGGGTAGTCTTGAACTCCTGACCTTGAGTGATTCGACCGCATCAGCCTCCCAAAATGCTGGGATTACAGGCATGAGCCATACCATGCTCGCCCAAATCTCCTTTAGTGGAGACAGGGTTTCTTCATGTTGGCCAAGCTGGTTTCGAACTCCTGACCTTAAACAATCCACCTGCCTTGGCCTCCCAAAGTGCTGAGATTATCTGCGTGAGCCACCTGTGCCCAGCCCCCAAGGACATTATTGATCCAGCGACTGGATCACATGCTTAATTAGAGCCTGTCTTACAGTTGGACTTCCTGTCATGTGTGGTAAGAAAGGTTTTATCAATCAAAATAAAAAGAATGACACAGCAAGCTAATGGTCGTATGGTGAAACTTTAGCACAAGACTTCAAGTCTTAACCCTCACAGTAGAGGCTAAAAAGCCTCCCCCTTGTCCTAGCCTCTCCCCAGCTTTCCAAGCCCTGGCCCACTGCGGTTTCTGGGAGCAGAGGCTGGGAGGCATTACCATCTCCAGCTCCTCCACGCGGAGCTGCCTGCGGCACTTCAGGGACACCCTGTGCTCCTTGGCTTCCTGCAGAGTGTCGTTTCGCACGGTTGTGCTCAGGCAGATTACCACGTCCACCCTGTGAGTGAAAGGAGAAGCTTGAAGCTAGCTGAAGCCACACAAGGGCAGATGACCTGAGAGCCTCGCTGGGACAGGGGTCATACCATTAACTAAGAATTCAGGATGTCCTTTTGGGGAATGTCTTTGCTGTATGCATGTTTTTTTCAGGGTGCTAAAGGGTGCAATTTGACTGTGGGTGTCATGAAAGGCAGGCAGCAGCCTGAACGCTGACTACATTCCTGATTGGAGGAGAAGTCAGAGAGGGCACATGTGTGCAAGGACAGTTCAACAC